CACAATTGAAAGTGTAAATGGATTGCAGGGATGTGGATGGTGTAAGTAGAGCCACTATATTTGACCAATTTGTGTTGACCTACTTTTCTTCTTCTTCATACTGTTAATGTTGAACAAGTATTTCCACAAACAGCAAAATCTTGAAAAATCGTTAGTTTTTCAGATCAAAAACTTTCTAAAAACACAATTTTATCAAAACAAAATGACTAATTTGGATCAAAATCTCATGAAATTTTTTAAGAACTTCAAGAAAACAAAAAATTTCAATCTTTTCAAAACTCGATGAAACTTGATAATTTTTTAGGTTTATGATTGAAATGTAACTACGAACACGTTTAATGAAGGAATAAACACTAAAAACAGATCAAAATGACCTAATTTAGTAAAAATCTCAAGAATTCATAAGTAATCTCAAAAACACTGTGAAATTTTTTTCCAATAAAATCTCAAACAATTGATCTTCAAATCGAAATATTTTAATGGATTAAGCATAAAAATCATTCACAAACATCAAACATACAACAAATTCGTGAAAAATACATCAAACCTCAAGAATTCGACGATCTTCAATAAAACCCACCAGAATTCGAATTTCTTCAAAAAATCTTCAAAAATTCGACGAAATCTTGCACAACTCTTATGTTTAAGCTCTGATACCAATTTTGTTAATCTCAGTTTCAATCAGGTAATAATTAATTAAGCAATAAGAACAACAACAAAGATCAAATCATCATGTATACTGATTAATCTCTCATTCTACGATTATTTCTCTCTTTACAATCTCACTCTAAGATATATCAATGAATGAACTATATACAAAGTATACATATACATTTGACTAAACTAGAAGTCAAACTAACAGTTATACACAATGTTGACTTTAAGCTTTGATCCTTCCATCTTCAATAATATTCTTCATAATTGATGGTTTCCAATATAATAATATTAGAGCTAACACAACTCCACATATTCGAGAAAGAGATCGCCGAAAAAACACAAAAGGAGTTGTTGGAGATGGAGATCGTCAGAAAATGGACCTATAAGATGAAGGGGTAAAACTTTGTGGTCGATGGTGGTAGCAAGAAGGGGTGGGCTGACGAGAAGAGGAAGAGGGAGGCAAGGTCTGATGATACGAACGATGGATATGTATTTTAATTATATATGTATAGTGTTAAATATAAGAAGTATAATTTTGAAAAAAAAATAAAAAAATTATGAAAAGACATTTTTAGCCATGGCTTGATAGAATACCAGTTAGGGCCTGTTTACTTGTGGCTTAATGAGCTTATCGGATAAATGGGCTTATTCGCACAGCCATTTTAGGCTGTTTACTTCGGGCTTATTCGTCCAGACATGGGCTTATTCGCACAGCAGGGTACCATGACTTGTCCACATTAAGCCAACAAAAAGACCTGCCTACCCTTGTAATAGAAAACCCACGCCTCTCTTTTCTCCTCCAATAGTCGCTCCTTCTCCTCCAAAACCCTAATCGGCCGATTTTGCTGCTTGATATTGCTTCTGATTTTGCTGCTTGTTATCCAATCTTCTCTTCTCCAAAGGTAACTCTTCTCCTTATCTATAGATTATGCTCGTTGATGCTTGATTCGCATCTGAATATGATCGATTTATCTGTTGCTTTTGCTGCTCGTTGATGCTCGATTCGCATCTGAATATGATCGATCTAATCTGTTGATTTTGCTGCTCGTTGTTGCTCGGTTTGTTTAGTTTGATTTATGTATGCAACTTGTTTAGTTTGATTTGTGGATTAGGAATTGACAAGAGACTACTGCTACTACTACACTTCCTAACAGAACTCTGAAAAGGTGAATTGAATAAATGAGGTTTTCGTTTTTCCTTTTCTTTAGTACAGTGGTATCAACACAAGGAGGAATCACCTTATTAGTTTGGAATCAGAGTCTTGATGGTGCATAAAGAACTAAACAGTATACTAAACAGCCCATAGTTAATACTCAGGGGTAAATTGGTCATTTCTGTTATTCAGACTGTTGATTCAGATAGAAAAGTAAACAGCAACCCAAATTTATCCAGAGAGCCAAATTTATCCAGACAGACAAATTTATTCATACAGGACTTAATAAAAAAATTTGGTAAACAACCCCTTAGTGGAGTTATAAAATATCCAATGAAATCATGCTACTATGTTATGTAATTATTTTGATTAAGACCAATCTAAAATTTTCAATAACAATAATGTTTAAAGAAAATTAAAAGGGAAAGTATGGCGGCTAGAGTAGAGTGTGATGTCAAGTAGTGGGTACGATTGAGCCCCATAAACACGGTGGATCGGATCGGATCGGATCGGATCGGGTCGGCATGATTAATAGCCAGAAGAGGTGCTACCCTGCGCCCACATTCCCCTGGTCAGTGTATACAGCTTGGCAGGCAGGCCTCATGATTCACGAGTGATGTTAGCAATTAACGGAGCGCCAATAGCAATTTTCATCACATCTTCGATTTTGTTCTCAAATCTTGTTGTACATCTTTCTTGATCACCAAACCGTACTCTAACTACTAGAGAGAGAGAGCGAGAGCTTGGTTCTTTCCCAAAACGAAGGTGGTTTGGATGCCGTGAACAAATGGGTGCAGCTGGGTCGAAACTTGAGAAAGCTTTGGGAGACCAGTTTCCAGAAGGCGAGCGATACTTCGGTCTCGAAAATTTTGGCAATACATGTTACTGTAACAGTGTCTTGCAGGTATTCGCTCATTGTTGTTTGGAATATCTCGATTATTATTAGTTTTGATCTCATGTTTGATTATTCATATAAATGGAAAAAGAAATCGATTTAGTTATTGATTTTGTTGCTTTAAAACTCTTTATTTGGGGTTTTCTTGAATGGGTGATTTGGGTTACTTGAATCGATTTGTTCGTACTTATGTCTAAAGTGGGGGAAATAATTTCAGTTTGGTTGATGTTTGTTTTAATACATTCATCATGAGGGTTTGTTCATTGTAAAATGTAGATGGGGGATAATATGGTTGCTTTCAAGATTAGGTGGAATGTGCGATGGGTGTTTAGGAACTAATCTGGTATTGAGATAAGGGACTTTCCAAGGGCTTTATGTCATTAGCTGCCATAAATGTTGAGTGTAGCATGCCGAGACTTTGGTGTGCATCACCTTTTGTCAGTTTAGATAAACCTGAGGACCTACAATGGACATTGACACAGATAAGGTTTCTTCTCTAAGAAAAGAAGATTCTACCTACACTCTAGATAAGTCCAAAATCTAACTTTGCCCTTGATATAACAAAGAAACTCTACATAAATGATTTCATTCCTTTTTTAGCATATGTGGATTCTTTTTCCTAGTTTTGAATATAATTGATCAAGTTGAAAATTACTATTGTGACGCCAAAGGGCCAAACCAAACAGAGAAAGGTCCGCCTACATCCTACCCACCAAGACCCTACTTTCGAATTAGGATATACCGAGTATGTTTTGTTTGGTTATCCACAAAAGAAATAACTAGAGGCTTTCTTGTACCACCAGTCGAGCTATATCTCTCCCATCATTCTTTGGCCCCACCAACACCATCTGACCCTACCTTCACCACAACTTTTATGCCCGACAGACGACAGTCACCATCCAGCCCTTAGACTTGCCACCGCTACCTTTAGCCTCACCACTACCTCTCTCACTCAACCTCATTGCAGAGACGCAAATGGCACATTTACATTTGTACCCGATATAGTTCAATTATTTTTCAATGTATGATATGAACTGGAAAATTTGTTTCGCAAGCTTTAAACACAGGATTAAAAGCTCAATGAAGTTTTCATGTCTTTTGGAGTTCAAGGATGAAATTAGATGCCAGAAGAAATTGCATTGGTTTGTTATTCTGATAATAACACACATATACATTGTATATATAGGTGTTCATATGTTTGATATAAAAGAATAAAACCTTACTTTTTGAAACTGAAGGAGCAAATTTTTCCTTAGTATAGGTAGACCATAACAATTGATGGTCCTTCAACAATTGGTTCAAACATATACAACCAATAAAGATCAAGCTTTGATGTTGTTTGTTTTATAAGAGGTGCTGATATCTGAAAGCGGAATCAATTAGACTGTTTGTTTCTAAATTGATAAATTGATAAAATGTCTGAATGTGTATAACTCTCTAATTTACCCCTTAGGATATTATAATGTTGCATTTATATAAAGAAATTCCACTTTACTCATAAATATGTAAAATAAATATCAAGAACTATAACACTCATTTTCAAACAACAAAATTTTCATCATTACCCATCTATTTCAACTTTTTTCAACAATTTTACCTGTTTATTCATCATTATAACGCAAATTACATCAAAATTATAAAACTCGGACTTCATTTTTTAACCAAAATAAATCATAGTCGGTTTTTAACACATTATTATTTTTTTAAAATTAAGTAAATCAACTTACCCAAATATAATAGTTAAGATCTTGTTTAATGTCATAAAAGTCAAATAATAAAAATATATTTATCTTCCGTAAACTGTAAAATGTAAACATAAAAATAAAAATATATTTTCTTTTTTTTTTCTTCAAAATTTTGGCGTGTCCATTTAAAATCAAAATGAGGTGGTTACATGTGTTTCTATAGAAATATGAACGTGGTGGATGTTCCATTAAACAAGGATCATGCCTTGATCCTTTTAAAGGACAGGGTAAGAGGTAGGATGAGAGGTGGGGTAGCCTCTTGTTCAATAAGAGGATGGTAAGAGGTTTTAACCTCTTATCACACACAGGAAAAAAACAACCTCAAAGCAGTAACCTCTTATCCAGTGAGACATAAATGATGATTAAGAGGTAATTTCAAAAAAACAAACACCACCTTAGAGTCATTGTTATCTTGCTATGCATGCATCTTCTTATGCTGAAAATGAAACCAAATCAGACTTAGCCTGTATATCCCACCCGGGGGTGGGATTTATGGAGGGTAGGATGTGCACAGACCTGATATCTACCCCAAGAAGTAGAGCGACAGTTTCCGAGGATACCCCCGGCTTGTGCAAAGTGTGCAAGAAAAAAAGTTTGTCCAATAAAAGCAAACAACACTGCATCTTGCTTTTGTGGTGTTGCTTTTACCTGGTCTTTTATGCTGCTATTTTTGATTTCTTTTGTCTGTTTATCTATGTGCTGATGTGCTATGCAATTAATTGCAACGTACGTGCTACATACTCATTCTAGGCATTGCTCTTGCCGGGGTCTGATGTGCTCTTTGAAATTGTCTCTGATTTTCTGTCCATTGTATATTCTCGTCATATAAATTGGAGTAATGGTTGCGTACAGGAGAGCTGAATGCACTAGAACTATCTACTGGATGTAGAACTCCTTGGTAAGATAGGTATAATATTTTCTGGATTTGATGTTGTAACTGAAGGGGTTTGAAATGCAATAACTGGTGCAAGGGTTATTGATAACCTTATATGACGATGATCTATGTGTAACATCTAGATTTTGGCACATTTATTATTCAAATCCATAACATTACATGAAAGATTCAATTAATAGATGCACCTTAGATTTCGTTTTTGTTTTCGATACTGCTGTTCAAAACCCAACTTTGATTCTAAAGTTCTCTTACATGGTTTTGTCTTTTATCACAGGCTCTTTATTTCTGTGTTCCATTTCGTGAGCAGTTGTTAGAATATTATTCAAACAACAAAAGCTTAGCTGATGCAGAAGAAAATCTATTAACATGCCTGGCTGACCTGTTTACACAGGTATAAATTTTTCCTAGATAATGCTAAATCTTCTTTCTATTTGTTTTCACTTCAGTTTATTTGTAGTGAATGGATAGGGAAATCTTTTATTTATTTATTGTAATTTAGTAGGCTTTTTAACTAATAGGCAAATGCACACACCCTTGAAATGTCTCTCATCAGATGTGAACCTCCACCCTATGGGTTGGAGGGAACGATTGCAAACCCTTGTTACTGAACAAGCTAGAGCTTGTGTTAATGTAGTGTTTTAACTTATGCCCCCCTCAGTTGCAGGAATTATCAAATTTTACGACTTGGTGACAAGTGAAGTTGCTTTGCTACTATTATTCATTACCTTATATGTTTAGTCGAAGAGTTTGGTTTTAATTTTGAACTATGACTAGATCTCTTGCTCAAGGAAGCAGGGCCGGTCCTGAGGTTTTCGGTGCCCTGGGCGTAATCAGTAAATAGTGCCCCCCGATAAATAGAACACTAATTTTTTTCTGGTTCTGTAACAATGTTAAAAATAAGGTTATCGAGCAAGAAATCCGTACACCATGTGCATTTCACTAGGGATAACATAAAAACCTTTGTTCAATGACTTCGAGTTCTTAAAATTCATGTAAATGCAAAGTAGCAACCATGTTGCTAACATGAATAATTTGAATATTCATTGCTTGTAGAGTAGATTGGTATTGATGTGCTCAAGTAGTGACTCTCTTAAAACCATTTCTCAAATAAGATTTAAAAAGGCCATTTGGTAGCAAATTCATATCATTTGTTAAAAGATATGTGTGTAGCAATTACAACAACAAAACATAATTTACCAATTATTAGTATTAAACATATTTAACAAAATCTAAGGTTTGAGTTTTTCTAAACAAAAACCGTTACAAAATATTAAATATTAATTGTTGGATCTGATATTTATTTTATTTTAGACAATTTCTTATGTTAGACTATAAAGTCGGGGTAAAAAAATGAGTTTTAATTAAGGGGAATCTGGAAGGAAAATAATAAAATCTAATAGGGGACAAAAATTCATAAAATCATTAACAGTCGAATGGTATGGTTGTTTATGATATATGTTATAGGTCTTGCTCTAAGCATCCTTCCTTTAGTTATTTTTATGTAGTAACAGCACCTACCAAGGCCCAATCCCTATTTGACTCCCCTTGCGCTTGTGCTGCAGACGGCCCAGGGCCGCCTAGCATTAGGGCCGACCCTGCAAGGAAGTTATGCACAAGTATCTTAATCTCTTGAATTTTCAATGTCATTGCTCTCTTCATGTCTAGAACTACTTTTAAAGCATACATCTTGGACGGATATGGTTTTACCCATGTAACTTTTTCTGTGAGGGTGTTATTCCCTTCAAATATGAGAGATATTCGGCCTTTTTTAATCATTGGTGTAGGTTTTTTTGGTTTTGTTTCTCGAGATAGGGGGTGGGGGGAGGGGTCATTGGAGCTTCATCCATTATGAATAGATCCATTCAGTTGAGAGGAAGGAAGCTTAGTCTCAAGGTGCTTCTTTATATGTACTACTACTAACTATTTGAGAAGATCCTTGCATGAAGGATCAATCATACAAATTACAATTTGTAGGAAAATATGATATATATTAGCTTACTGCTGTAGTTTAGGTAGTTTTGTGTAGCACTTAACTGAACACTAGTTAAGAATAGCATCTAGCAACTACTTTGTTAAATATGCTTTGGCTTTATGATTGGGGGCATATTCTTAATCACTAAACTACTGACAAGGTATTGAAACATGGATCTTCATATGGTTCTAATAATTAAGAATGCTTATGAGGGGTACATCAGAGTGTTAGTCAGTCTCTATCCGTGAGAGTAAAAATATGTCCATGAAATATTTTGAAGTGATTAAAGATATGGCTGCTAAATTATTTACATATCTGAATTGCAGTGATGTAAACTAATGGGCATCAAGCCCCCATCATTTTTTGTCAATCAGCAGATGATGACTTGAGTACAAAAAGCAGAAATGCAACGTGATGAAATGTGCTGAATACATGTTATTTGTAAATCTGTCAAACGAAGGATGAAGCACATCCAAATGGGTAGATAGAGAAGTATTTAGCGAAACACTAGGATCTACTTGGCATCACATCCATAGGCATTCAGCTAAGGGTGAGCCTTTCACACAATGAAAAAACACTCTTGAGCTTCTATTATTCTACCATCCAAAATTAATCATGAGCATTACAACCTATATATGTATGTTACATGTACGTGTGTGTAGTGATGCAAGACTAACAATAAATATATATGTTTACCTTAACAATAAAACTATTACTTATCCTATGATGAAGAATAAATACTAGCAGCAATCCTTATAATAATTACTAAATTATCCTATAGTAAATTAGAATTTAGTAATCATCCTAACTATTTGTCCTAGTCTTGCAATCCTCGTCCTAATCCTTCTATTTTTCACTACAATAAAACCCAAGCAAACCAAATGCACTCGGTGAATTTTAAACGGAGTAGGATTTGAGGAGGGTATGATGTACACAGACCTTACTTCTACCTCGAGGAGTAGATAGGTTGTTTTCATGAAAGACCCTAGATTTGTAAAAAGGTAAAATCATGGAAGTTTAATATAAAGGAAAGAGCTAAGTAATATAAAAGGAGGAGATGAAGTTTCGAACAATTGAAGAAAAAGTAACAGGGACCAATAATACAGTACGCAAGGACATTAAACTTTTCCGTTTCATTACAATCTATAGCTTGTTCCTTTCTTTCCTTAGTCTCATCGGCAACTATAGCTTCCTTTGTATTTTCTTCAGTAATCATCCGATGTGGACATCAAACTTCATCTCCTCCTTTTATATTACTTAGCTCTTCCCTTTCTATTAAACTTCCATGACTAATTTTCCAAAATTTTACCTTTTTACAAATCTAGGGTCTTTCATGAAAAAAAATCAAAAGACTGAATGGAATTGGACTAGAAAAAAGATATTTCTTTTTCTTTCTTTCTCTATATAGAGAGAGAGTTCTTGTCATGATTCGTAAACTAATGCAACGTCTAATTGGATTTCGTAATTGAAAAHGTTAGGTTGAAATATCTATTGATATTGCTAAACGAAATATTTTATTCAAGGATTAAGTTATTACTCAAGGAAGAATAATTTGAATTATTAAAAGATAAGATGAATTCAAAAGCACTTTTTTATAAATATAGCAGACAGAATTCCAGTGTCTAATAGGTTTTTCAGCTTCTAGCATGGACTCTATGCTTGCATGGGGTTTGGTAGGAAGCAAGATCCTTTTCTTTCCACAACTAAAGCAATAAGAATTATCCCCCATCTTTGTTATGCTTACCATGAAACCAATCCATCCAGGATCTTCCAAATAACCTATGTGCTATGTTCATGTGCACAATATCACAAGAGACATCAATCATATTTTCACCAGAATGGAACATATTAATGTGTAAATGTGATCCGTGTGTTATCTAGCCATGGAATCGTATAAGGATGCCTAATTAGTTGAGGTTTCGGCTTTGATCTTTTCACGGGTAACTTAGACACAATCTATCTCACATTTTCTTATCAGTAACCAACCTACAGACTTTGCTTTACGTCAAGCATACGATTGAATGTTGGAAGAAGGCATAGGATCACATTCTTGAAGAAGCCGAGCAATAAGAATATCAAATTTTATGTTTTTGACCTTTTTAGAAATTGCAGAAATCCCCCTGAAGTTACAGAGAAGTCCTTGAATTTTAAAGAAGTGCATGACATCCCAAGCTTTCTGGGAAGTACAGAGAAGTCCTGCATTTCTTGAAAAACACAGGAAAGAAGTTCAAGGAACGTGGCTAAAAACATTACCGAGTTACTTTAAAACTGAATAGATGGCCCTGCCTCATAAGATTCCCTGTATTTCTCGAAAAAAAAGGAGAGAGACACAGATTTTATGACCAAAAGGGCCTTTGTCCTAGCGGTATGTGAGTCCTTGGCCTTCTAGGAGGTCAAGGGTTCAAACCTCACCAAAGGTGAGGAGGGTGTGTGAGTTTATTTGTTCTATTTGCCGTATATAAATATTATATACTTCAAAAAAAAAAAAAAAAGAAGTCCCAGAATTTCTGGTAAAAATGATTAGAACTTGGAGCACTTGCAGAAAGCTCCCCTAAATTTCAGAAATTTGCACAACACTTTCCTGAAATTTAGGAAATTGCAGAAAGCCACTCAATTATGTCAAGAATTTCCAAAGAGAACCCAACAAATAAACTACTGAGATAGAAGCTTCTTGAGATCCTTGATGACTTTGGTTTACGTATTGGTTTGATTTTGGTTAGAAGGTTCGAAGTTGATTGTTTGTAGCAGCTTCAAGTTCTCTTTTCAGGCTCAGATGCCAAACTAATGCACGAGAGACTTTAAGGAGCAGTATAATTTGGAAAACAATGAATGAACTAGGTTATCATGTTAACATCTAAAACTAGGATCTTCTGAGCATCAAGTCAAAGATTACCAAAGGCATCTCATATTCTCATATCAGGATGATTCTTTTAGACAAGTAAATAAAAAAGGCAACTAGTTTTATTCGTTCATACAATAATCAATCTTGTAGAATAAAAGTTTACAACCTACATATATAAGACTAATGGTAAATATAAACGTTTATCTTTAAAAGAAAACGTTTGCTAATCCTAACCATGATGATAATGAATGATAAAGATGCATAGTATTAGTTACCATAATATTTAGGAAATGATGCTATAAATTATCCAAATAGTAATTAGAAAGCGATAATTACCTTAAATGTAATTACAATATTGTTAAGATGATAATTTTAACAATAACTAGATTAAAACTGAATAAAGATCATGGGAAACCTACCATTTGCCCTAATTTTGCAATCATCATCAGGTATCTATCTTGTTTGTTCAAACCATATAAACAATACGTTGTTGTTGTCTACAATTGTCCCTGAAGTCTTCCCCTGTGCTACTGCTAACTCCGAATGGATATTGCCTCCGAGCTAAATGACTTTTTTGTTGATAATAATACTGTAAATTATATCTTAGTTTGTGCTACCCCTCAAACATAGATTGATTAATGGATGTTGTACTTTGTAGATAAGTTCGCAAAAGAAGAAAACTGGGGTCATTGCTCCAAAACGCTTTGTACAGAGATTGAAGAAGCAGAATGAGATTTTTCGCAGCTATATGCACCAGGTATGTATTTTGTATTGCTATGTTCATGTCAATATGCCAATTAGATTATCTAGAAACATTATTTTGTGGGTAAACCTTGTGAAGTTAATCATGATAGCAATCAGAGTTTAAAAACATGGGTATTGGGTGTTAAAAAATTAATATAATCCAATAATTAGTGTCAAAGGTTGGGGGTCTTTGTCCACTTGTTTTTTCACATGCACTTTGTTCACTATAGGATGTTGTTATAGCTTCTATTTTATGTCTTCGTCGTCCATTTATGTACCTTATAATTTTTTCTTGTTTTCTCTCAATAATACCATATCTTTTTCTGGGCCCTTGACCTTACCTTGTATTAGAGTTCAGGCTTAGAGAAGTAATCCTAGCCTTCATCCTGCCACAGACAGCAATCTGTGCTGTCCTGCCGCCGCCATAGGAACAGCATAGGTAAGCCAAATCTGGAGTTGACATGACTTTCTGCATTATACTGCCACTGTGGAGTATATCACCATGTGCGGCCTACTTCTGCTACTCATCTGGTTGTTAGTTGAGGCCGTGGTTCTTCCAGGCTAAGTTACCACTGCTGGTTTGCAGTTCTAGTGGGCTGCTTGCTGCCTGCTGCCTGTTGATCGTGAAACCCAAGACAAATTTCATGGATCACTTGGCCACATGGAAGATGCAGTGGAGCATGGCCACTCTTTATTGAGTGGGTGCCAAGGGTCAGAAAAGAGTCCCTTCAAGCATATTTGATGCATGTTAGGCATGGTCCCTAGCTCCTATTGCTACTCAGTCTTCATATTAGAGGAAGTATGTTTCTGATATCAGCGAAGGAGGATGTTAGTTATTCGTGTTGGGAACTCTATTCAAGCACATTTGGATCTTGGTGGAGCTTGTGATGGTCAACGAGATATAAGATGCAACTAGTGGGGGTGAGTCAGTTTATTCCTACTTTTGGTACTAGACATTTGGATGCCATGTTAAAGATCTTGAGGTATCTTAAGGGTTATCCAGGAGTCTAGGATGCGGCATTGCTTCATTTGCTTGTATTGATCAGGGCACATTTGTAATGCTGGTTGTTCATAGATCTCATGATTGTGTATTGCCTGAATATTACCAACTACGATTAGCTACATATACTGTCCATATAGGTGTAAAGATGTTAGGTTAAGGTTATGATATTGAAATGATCCTTTATATTCTATAGTTTTGCGCTTCACTTTTTCCAAAGAGGGTTGCAAAAAAGAACACCTTACTGCTTCTGCAGCTGAATTGCTGAAGCTAGGATATATGCTTTGGGTAGGCTAGCAAAGCTTTATAAAAGATCATGTAATAGTTGTTGCAAACTATGAAGATTCACCATGCAATTTGGAATTCCCTAATCATTTTACAGGATGTTAATGAATGATATATTACCACTTTGCCATGATACCATTCTAACCTCTCGGAATAAAACTTCCCTTCCACTTCTATTTGGTTTCTGTGCTCATTCTATTTTCTTGTAGGTCATTATGGTTGCTGCATGTAAATGTGTAATAGTAATTCACACTGTGTTGTGCCATTTCTTTATCAATCTGACTGTGCTGTTCTGCCTAGGATGCCCATGAATTTTTGAATTATCTGTTAAACGAACTTGTTGACATACTGGAGAAGGAGTCGCATGCTGCAAAGAGTGATCCAGAATCTTCTTCATCTTCTGAGCAAATTGCTAATGGACTAAAGAGTGCTCACACCAATGGTCATATGAGAGAGCCTCTTGTCACCTGGGTGCATAAGAATTTCCAGGTAATCATGCTGCATATGCAATTGCTATATTGCTTCTTGTCATACCTAACCCATGCAACACTATCAATGTATTTTGCATGCTTGTGGCTTAATGCAACAATGTTAGGCTGTTCAATTGCTGATCTCTCTATTGGAGCCTAATTGCAATTATGTAACCTTTCTTCTGAAGGGCATACCCTGCAAAGAAGTGTACAAGTTTTGTTAATTGGACATTCAATGCATAGATCTATATATTCTTGATGAGTTATCGGGGTTGTATTGGCAATTGTTCGGTCTCATTGTCTTCAATGGCTCATTTTTCAGGGTATACTTACAAATGAAACTAGGTGCTTACGTTGCGAGACGGTAACAGCAAGAGATGAAACGTTTCTTGACTTGAGCCTCGATATTGAGCAAAATAGCTCAATTACTAGCTGTTTGAAGAACTTCAGTTCCACCGAGACTTTGAATGCTGAGGACAAATTCTTTTGTGATAAGTGTTGCAGGTATGTTGTCACCTTCTGTTGTTTTCTTGGTGTTGACTTCCGATACTTTCCTATTTTGTGATGACTTCTGACTTTTGATGTTATCCAAACACTAGTCTGCATTTTGTAAAGTTAGAATTCCTTATCACCGCCGGCTAACTTTTCATAAATGTCCTCCGGTGTAGACAATCTTCTGCCATAGCTACTGAGAAAATGTATGTTGTCTTGGAGGCGTTTTTCTTAAAAGCCTGCTTCAAAAGATCGAGTCAAGACTGGATACTTTTGATAACGGTTTTTGCTTTGAGTTCAGGTCCTGCAAACTTACCATAGAAGAGTCGTGTGTGCTTTGTAACTTGGACTTTCAAAGTGATGAATCTTAAACCTGAGTTACATATCTGTGTGGGAATTCTTGACTGATTACACCGAGACACACATAGAGTTTGTTTTTTGTGTCGTTAGATTCTGTAGAACACATTCTTTGATCCCTGTTGAGAGCAAATTAGAAGGATACAAGTTAATGTAGTGCTCGGTGAGGTAGCATTTAGCATGTAAGAGCATAGAAGAAATGATAGAATTGGAGGATGTTTAGTTCCTAATGCAAGAATATATTTTCTTATCTTTGTTTCAAACGGTTGAATAGAAAGATGGGATATTAGTAAATATTTTGTCTTTTAGTGTTCCATGTCTTGATTTTACCCAATTCTGTACTTTGTATATTGTGTCTCTCTCATTAGTAACATATTCTTCTTGGTCTCTTCACTTGGTAAAGACCCTAGCCGTACCAAATTGCCACAGCAGTCTCTACTGCTGGTGCCACCAATGTCATAAAGCAACAGTTTGCCTCTTTTCTTGATCTTCTGAAGTTCCTAACCAAAACCGTCAACTGTTCATGCTAGTGAGAAGTTAAAACCACATTCCAGTCTGTTCTTAAGTTGATGCTGAGGGTTGATTTAAGTGACCTCTTTTCATTTTCTACTGGTCATGGGGATGTACCAACATATCGATGTCGTTTTGTAACTTGCCGGCGGCTTATGACTTGCTTCTTTGTCCTTGTGACTTTGTTGTATTGATTCATATTCGTCGTCTTCCTCGTCGTTAGCTGTGCTGCTCCTATCTTCTATTTTGAACTGTCTCAATGATCAACAGAGACTGGCGAGTTAAATCAGATTCCAACCCTAGTTAATCATTTAACTTCTTCTGTTGCTATTACTGTCCCTGTTGGCATAAATTTCCATGTAAATCATGAAATGCTAGCCGCGTTCTACACTGGACCTCACAATCTATTACAGGTTCTATTCGGTTTTTTGGCTTTTTGTTTGACTTAACCAGTTGTGGCCTTTCTTTCGGTATCTTTCTGTGAGATGCACAGATCCATACACTTGGAGTCGTAGCTGTTGTTCTCTAACCACTATAAAAGGTCATTAGCCAACAGTTGGTCTGGATCATCCAATACCAACAACGCCATAATGTTAAACCAAACGGAACTTTAGGGTATTCTTGGCCCATGCATGGATGGATAACCATTCCAAGTCCCCAAGGGTCCTAAACCTTTACATTGCTAATCGATGAATGTTGAACGATCCAGATGCCTCTTCATATCTAAACTCTTAAGACCCTCATCCAGTCATCCTCGATTACAAGATGAGTAGACCTGGTGTTCATTCACATGCGAATTAATAAAGTCTATACACACATACATACCTTGTTCCTCTTCACAATACTTGATAGGAGTCTTAATCCCAGATACCCCTCCGGGATAAGTGTATGTACCCCAAAGCCGCCACACTCGTAAAGATGAATCAACCCAACAAGTTCATAATAAAAGTGTTCTATAATCTCAGCATCTTCAGTATCATCAGCCTAAAGACCACGATTTTTTTCTTATTAACGTGGATATCCAACCTGCTATGCGAGCCGACTAATCCCAGGGCGACCATGATTTTTTACTGTACTGATGAGTTGGATCCTTATTGTGCTGGCGAGTTGGCTTCCTGATATCTTTCCTGGAATTATCAGGACTGTCATGGATAAGCTTGTGTGACGACGATCTGATATAGATTTTCCTGTATTCTCTTCATCTTTTGAGCTGGACTGATCCTTCACTGTCTTTATTGTTGTGATATTTGGTACTTTTTTGTGTATTTGGATTCCTCTGCTTGATTTGGGTTCGGGAGCTTGACCTTTTTTTAGAAGGATGGTGAAGTAAAAGAAAGTAGTTGTGAGAGAGGACAATGTTTGCGAAAGGGCTTAGAAGGGAATGGTTGCAATCTCACAGTTGGACTGGTCCAATAGTTAGTTTGTAAGAGACCATATTATGACTAATCCCTTTGTAGAGCTAGAATAGATGTTATTCTCCAATTGTTTTGTTGCTTTACCCCCTCTATCATGTGAGGCTAAGATTTGCTACAATTTCCATCCATGAAAAAGCAGTCCCCTTATCGACTACTTCCAGAAGTATTTGTGCTCAGTGTTGTTGAGCAATATTTATGTCTTGCTGCAGAAAATGAACCTTAAAGTTTATAGCCACAAGTTAGAGCTTTTAATTGCATCAAAATGCAATGCACTTTGGTCTCATTTCTAACTTGGGCAAAGTAATTTCTTTTTGGTATCTCAGTGTGATATCTCAAACATTTAGACCAAAGTATGTTACACAAAATAAGAATCATATGCCAAAGGACTTTGCACTTTCAGATGTAAACCAGATCTCTAAATGTATGAGATGTCACATGAAGTTTTTGAAAGTGCGTTAGACAAAATACGAATTTTCATGCAATATGCACTTTAAGAATTGATGAATGATTGGAGTTTTAAGAATGTTGGGCATGAAGTAAATTAATCTATGTTGTACTAATGAAGCTTGCAGGAAGCCCAAAAAAGAATGAAGATTAAGAAGCCACCTCAAATTTTAGTCATCCATCTAAAAAGGTTCAAGTACATTGAGCAGCTTGGACGGTATAAGAAGCTATCTTATCGTGTAGTCTTCCCACTCGAGCTCAAACTCAGCAATACAGTAGAAGATGCAGACGCAGAGTATTCTCTGTTTGGGGTCGTAGTGCACGTTGGAAGCGGGCCCAACCACGGGCACTACGTTAGCCTGGTGAAAAGCCATAATCATTGGTTGTTTTTTGATGACGAAAATGTAGAAATGATTGATGAATCAGCCGTGCAAACGTTCTTCGGATCAGCACAAGAGTATTCAAGCAACACAGATCATGGGTATATCTTGTTTTATGAGAGAGTTGACACAGGAAATAATAATACCAGCTGAATTGAAAGATGGTAAAATTTGCAATTTTGAAGTGATTCCAGTTACATTTTGTGATTGTTGTTTGATTATTAGCATGGGGACTGGTTCTGTTTTTGTAATCTATGAGATGATACTGATATCATATGATGATCAAATGTGAATCATGTACAGCAATGGCGGAAATTAACTTCATCTCTCTTCTTGTAGCAATTGATTTGATGGGGAAAAGGCCAATAGAAAGTTGAATACTGCTTTTGTTGTAGCTTTATTTTTCTGTTTATTAGTTATGATCAAAGCTTGGATTGGTGGTGTTTGAATATATCTATCTATATATATATATAGAGAGAGAGAGAGAGGAGTAGCAAGAGAGTTGGGTTCTAACAAGAACATGGTCAAAATAAAAGAATACGAGAACAGTCAAATTACATGTGTTTTTACACTGTAATCACATGTGGACGTGACTTTTGTTGCGACCTAGGCTGCGAGTCAAGTCATCGGGCACCCTTGCATTGACCGTGTTTTGTAATCGCATATGATATTATTGTAAAAGCAAATGTCTCGATTTCTTTTATTTTGACTATCTTCTTGTTTGAACCTCCCTCGCTCTCTTTCCACATACACACACACATACACACACTTTTACGAAAACACACCACCTATATCATATGTGAGATCTTGTATACTATACGAGAGGAAACCACGATGTTGCCAAAGTCTCGACTTTCTAATGCAGTATCAAATGTGATACCTATATCACGCTTTTGATCACTAATAGCCTATGTTCAGAGCTAGTCGACTGGCTTGGTCTTCCCCGCCAGCCTTTCCAACCATATATTGGATGAAATGGGAGAAGAGGTATTGCCATGCATCCGACAACCCGTTCTTTTCTATCTTTGTCATAGACTTGTTCTACTCTTGGTCGCAGTCCTTGAAAGGCCAAGCATAGTCGGTAGTGTCAAGAAATCTGACGATATCCTCAGTGGTGGTGTCAGCAGCAAAATGGAGGCATTTTGGGTAGTTGGAGCACTAAACAAATAGTTGTAGGCCCTAAGCTTAAAACAAGGTTGTTTTTTTTGACATGAGATCTTGGTGGTTTGACTCCCCAGCGAGTCCTTCGTCCAAACGACCTTAGCAGTATACCAAAACTACCTCAATATCTCGTTCACCATTACTGGTTGGAAGGTTAGCGCACAATTGAGGACACAATTCTTGACTTGAATGTGGATTCCTTAATCTTGAAGGAGACGTTCTTGACAACTTTTGTTTTTGATTATTAAGAAGTAAAGATGGAGGAACCAAAGAAGTTTAGTATATAATATACTAAAGTGTAACCTTCAACGTTCAAAACCCAAAAGAAGAGTTTTTTTTTTTTTTTTGAGTTTTAGGGTTTCAAAGAAGAATGTATTGTTGTATATAAGCAAATATACAACAAGAGAATGTTTTAGGTATAAAATATACCATAAACAAGAAAAGTTGAAAGGAATGAAAACCTATTTGGATCAAAATGACAAAAAATCTTTTTTTTTTGGTTTGAGTGAGGTTTATCAAAACTAATTAGGGTTTTTATAAAGCCAAGAAGACGAATGGTTTTAATGAGAAAGTCTTGTTTGTTTTGAAAGAGGAGAAGAAAACAAACAATGATGTTGATCCTCTCTCTCAGTGATTTGATGATAATCTTTTTCATCTTACGAAGTGTACTATCTCTTTATTCAGCGATTATCACTGAGTCTGTTCAGTAATCGCTGAACATGTATTGTAATTCTCTCAGAGACAAGTATTCTTCAGGAATATAAAACACACACCACGGAACCTTCAGCGATATTGAAGATAAAACTGAAGATAAAGACAAGCAAGTTCGTGATCTGATGCGGTTTTCAGTGATAACAAGCTCGTCTACACAAGTGTGAAATCTACTCAAGATTCAGCGAAACCAAAGAAACCTTAGCGTTATTCCAGTGTCAGCGATCAAATGAATCTTGTTAAACAAGATTAGTTTTTGTCTTGTCAATCTACACACAAATGACAAACCCATGCCTCTCAAAGTAAAGTACTGTATGGAGTCACTCTACTGTCTCCAAGCGTGCTTACCTACTTTGTGAAAGAAACTGTTTATATACGGCTAAACCATGTATATCTGCAACAAAGGACAAACTCATCTCTTGAAGTTTGCCACGTGCTTTGTACCTTCTGAATTACATTTAATACAATGGGTATAAATAGCTGAGAAGTTCTTTCTTCTCAGTGTCTTACCACTTCTGTTTAAACCAAGCTTCCTTGCCTTGAAGATCTTTTTACTCAATAAGGTACTCCTTCCTCTAACTTTCTATCTAAGAGAAAGACATCCACTCTAACAAGCGAAGAGCACAATACTTCTTAACCTATTTCTTTTAGCAAGTCTTTTCTTTCTTGCTTTCTGTAACTTGTGTGTTTCTTTGATTGTTTAGATAAATACTGTATCATATCTTTTCCATAAACAATCTGTACAATTTTGTATTGATATTATTTATCAATATATGATTTTTAAAAGTGAAAGCTCCTGTGTTTGTATTCACCCCCCCCCCTTCTACAAACTGTTACCTATAAACTCTTGTAGATCCGGCTGGGACCAACAAGTGGTATCAGAGCAGTGTTTATTTTAGTGTTTTATTGGTGTTTTATTATCTCTTATTTCTAGATAATTTATTTACCTTTCAAATGGCTTTGCAAAACACGAGCACAAATTTGCACGATAATGACTCTCTTGCGAAACCTCTCCGGTTCATCAGAGACAACTTCAGTCTCTAGAAGAACTAGATGTCTCTTTTCTTAGAAGGTGTGGATCCTGAGATTTCATAGTACATTGAAAATGGACCTTATGTTCCATTTGCAATTTCTCCTGCAGTTCCTGCTACTGGTACGACTGCCACAATTTCTGAACGACAGATTCTGAAACTCCCTCATCAATATAGTAACAAAGACAAGAAGAAAATGGCTCTAGATACTCAAGCAAGATCTATAATAGCCATGTATTTTTCTAACAAGGTTTATCACTATGAAGGTACTTCTGAAGTACAATAATCGAGGAAGACAAACTTAGCAAGACAATATGGAAGTTTAGTCCGTGGAAAATCTGAATCGTTGTCTGAAGTACATCAGTACTTTCATTGTCTTCTTATCGATTTAAGCATAGTTGAAAGAGAATATTCCAACTCAGAGACCTTGATGAAGTTCCTTGAATGTTTGCCAGAATCATGGGATAATTATACCATGTGTCTCAAGATGTCTAAGGACATGTCCTCCCTTTCCCTCAGTTCTCCTTATAGGATATTGCTTAATCATGAAAAATCTTGTCAGCTGAAGAATAATCTTCTTAAAAAACTCCAGAGAAATGAAAAGATCTCCTTTAGCTTTGATCTTTGATATCCCTTCAGCTGACCCCTCTATTTCTTCTACTCCTTCCTCTTCTCTTTCTATTACTGAGTTAGATCCTTTTAACTCTGAGGACTTGACAGACGTTGATTTATCATAGTTTGATGAGTCGTTGGCCATCGTTACAAACTCTTTCAGAAGGTTTGCTAGAAAAAGCAATTTCCACAAATCTTCTTCCCTGATCATAGCTGACAAGCTAAAATCAAATCCTATTGAATTGACAAGACCTCAGCTAACTGCTTTAACTGTTAACGCAAATGACACTTTACTAGGGAATGCAGGTCAAAGAAAGCTGCGAAGCCATCTTCAAACCTCTCATCCTCCTTCAGACCTAAAGATTACAAATATCTGAAACTGAAGGAGAAGTACAAGAAGAAGAATCTCCAGCGTAAAGGAAAATGTCTTGTCGCTGAAGAATATGACTGGGTTGATTCATCTGAAGAATCATTCTCGGACGAGAAGGACAAGACCTATCTCTGTCTTATGGCCAAGGATGAACTATCTGAGATATTATCCTCCAGTGATCCCTCTCCATCAACCTCTACTCAGAAAGTCAAAGACATCTGGTATCTAGATACTTGATGTTCAAGACACATGACCTGAGACAAAACCCTGCTCTCAGACTACAAATATAAAAGAGGCCCTTCCGTGATCTTTGGAGAAAACAGAAAAGGATATACCAAGGGCTTTCGTATATCAACCAACGGTGCAACCACCTTCAGACGTGCTGCATATGTTGAAGGACTGAAGCATAATTTTCTCAGCACCAGTCAACTGTGTGATAAAGATTTCACAGTTAAATTTATGAAGAATTTGTTGATCATCTCTCTCTATGATTTGATGATAATCCCTTTTACCTTGTACGAAGTATTTATGTTTCTGTCTTTCAATTCCATCGATCATCATTGAGTCTGTTCAATGATCGCTGAGAATATGTAATGTAAATCCATCAGCGACAGTGATACTTCAAGAAGACAAAACTCACACCAAAGAACCTTCAGCGAAAGTCGAAGACTGAAACTGAAGATTAGAGACTGGCGAGTTTGTGATCTGAAGCGGTTTTCAGTGATTACAACCTAGTCTACATATGTGTAAAAACTGCCCAAGCCTCAGTGAATGCTGAAGAGACCTTTAGGTTATTCCAACATTCAGCAATCAAAAGAAGCTTGTTGAGCATGATTGTTTTTGTCTTGTTCTTACACACACAAAGGACAAACCCATACCCTTTCTAGAGCATAGTACAGTACGGAGCCGATTAGTTGACTCTACTACCTACCAACTCCATGAAAGGATGTGTAATTCCCAAAATATCACCAAATCAGATAATCTTCAATCAATTAGATGATCAAACTAGAGAGAGAATTTTCATCCAATTGTTTTTGTTTTGAGAATTGTAATGATTACAAAATGATTAGCTCAACCCTAATTATAACTCTAATTACCCTATTTATACTAGAAAGCTTTTGTTGGTCCCGAAAGGGTCTACAAGATAAGACACAGTTTGTAGAAGGGGG